ACTATTCGGTTTGCCCCGAATCTTAGATGTTCGTTGTATTTCACAGATGAAGACCTTTACTCGGCGAATATTGAACCGCAGGTATTTACTGAGGCGGTTAGTAGTGGCATACAAATTACTGCTGATAGTAATTTTAATAATGATTTGATGGCACAAAATACTGCCATATTTATACAGAAAATGAGTGAGGGCTTTAATTTATAAGAGCAGGGAATTTTATCGGCTGATGAGGAAGTTCGTGTAGGGTTAACTAATTTCCAAACCTATTAAAAAAAAAGGTAATACTCTGGATTAGGGGACTAACCATCGAAATTCGCGAAAAATTTATGTACGATGGACAGCGATTTCTTAAGAATTTACGTGCAAAAAGAACTTGGCGGTCAGACATGGTTCTCTTGTAATTGTAAAAATAAATACCCAATAATTACACAGAAGAAATTAAGTTTTATGTTTTATAATTTATTATACTGCAACACCAGCACCACAACTTAGCTCAAGAAGCTGTCACAAGAAAAGAAAATAACGATCAGTGTGACCAAAGGCTACGCTTTCATTAATGCCTAAAATAAATAAATGGTATTTCTGTATAGGAATAGGGGTATTCCACCCCCTTAGATATAACATCTATAAAATTATAAACTTAACATAATATATTCATTTGTAATTGTTATGTACTTAGTGTGGGTTGTGTGCATTCTGGGAATAGTTATGTGATCCAGCATTTGCTGCAAGGATACGGGGAAAACCCAGAAAAAACCGATCAGATCACTCTTACATATACATATGTTTACAAAGAATTACATTTTAAATTTCAGTAACTTAACCCTTATACAAAAGCAAACAAAAGTATTTCAACGAAATCAATTAAATTCAAATCAAAAAAAAATAGAAAAAACTTCAGCATCAGCAAACAGTGGATAAGTCATCTTGCAGTAATCCCAAATCATGTCGTATTTCCAAGAACTTTGCGGCAGGCAATGTCTTTGTGAAGATATCAGCAAGTTGATTCTCTGCGGAAATATACTCAAGACAAATGGTGTTACTTTCAATTTGTTCTCTGGCAAAATGATATTTGATATCAATATGTTTGGCTCGTTTATGACATGAGTGATTATTTGCTATACTGATACAGTCTTGGTTATCTTCGTAAATTTTATTTGGATTTTCGATTTTGATATTAACACTACTAGGAGATTTTAGCCAAAACGCTTTTCTTACAGCTTCAAATAATGCCACGTACTCAGCTTCAGTTGATGAGGATGCCTCTTTGTGTTCCAACAAATTACATTTAAATCGAACATTTTGAATAAATACCCTGTGGTATTTTTTCTATCAATCTCGTTTCCTCCCCAATCAGAATCTACATAACCAATTAATGTATTTTTAAACTCATCATTTCTTTTAAAAATAAGTTTCATTTCAATAGTTCCCTTTAAATACCGAATGGCCTTTTTTAAGCACTGCCATAACTCGGAATTATTTTTGCTACTATATCTACTCAAGATATTTGCTGCAGTAGTTAAGTCTGGACGTGTACATAGCATTATGTACATTAAACATCCTATGAGTTTTCGACATTGCAGTTTTCATCTGAATTAAGAAACTCATAATTTAGTTTGGTTGGTAAGGGAGTACTAACTGCATTGCAATTATCCATGTTAATTTATTTAAGATTCTTTTAACATATGGGCATTTCCATATTGTCGCTCGGGACGTTTGCATACTTTTAAAGTAAAAAACAAAATGGGAAAAAAACGATTTTAATTTTGATAATTGGCTCTACTTTTCACTCTTCCCAAGCTCTATTTTGTGCAATAATCTTGATTTTTTCCGACTTTTAGTTTTCAAGATATCTTTAAAAAACGATCGTGTTCGATCGGGACAAAAATAGTGTTTACGTCAAAAGGGCGTTTATTTCAGGAGGCAGTGTCGAGCGGCAGTTTTATCCAGATGTCTACATCTCGCGCGCTCGCACTGCCGTCCGCTCTCCCTCTCCATGTCTCCCTTAAGTCTCCGCTCTACTCTGGAGCGCTTAAGTTAAGTTAGGCTTAAGCAGTTCATGTTTCAAAGTGTACGAATACGCACGTCGCGTAAAAACCCCAAAAGTACTCCCGCGTTTTTTGGGTACCACTCGATCTTGGGGCTTCAACTATTTAATCGATCAAGCCGCACCGCCCCAACATTTTGGTCCTTCTAGCCGGATTTCAAAATCTTTGGACTTTCCTCTCCTGGAGTTTCCTTTGATTTTGTCCCAGCAGGCTTGAAACACTCCAGATAAGTTCCGCTTACTATAATTGCCGGTCATACAGACAGTTTTTCGAACCCTATTTCGACTAACTTTCTGTATGATATATTGTCTAAATCCAAAAGAGATTAATCCGACGCAACGGCATTTAATATATGTATTTCAATTCCGTTACTTGTGCCCGACAATATTCCAGTTTCCTTTGCCCACAGTTGCACACTTGAAACAATTCCAGTAAATATTTCAGTGCTACTATTCAACGAAAATATTTGTCAAATATATTTTCAATTCCAATCGTGTGTAAAATATAACTCAGCCGCAGTAAAAAATTCCCGTTCATAAAATTTTTCCCTAAGATTTGCACTCTTGATTTTTTACTGTGTTCCAGCTGCATGTGTATATTTACAAAAACAATCTAATACAGTCCACTCCAACTACTTTTCTCGACCTACAAATACGGCTAAACTATTTCTAAAATTAAAACAAAGTGACAATATCCACAAATTTACTCCAGCAAATCGTTTGCAATTTAGTTGTGCAGGAGAAAACAAACGCACCGACAAACCAATTCCCCGCAACGTTATTCCACTATTCGCACCCCACATATTATTACATATGTACAGTGTACATACATAGTATATCGATATTTCGCCAGTGCACAGTGGGTCAAGAGCTCACAAAAATGTTCCTTCCAAACAAACAAAATTAAAGTCCGTAATTCTTACATAAGTCCGACCATCCGATATAATAAATATTTATTGCCTGCTATCCGACAGTGTGACCGTATATATTTACAATCTTGACTGGTTCTTAAATCCAATTGGATTAATCCGTTTCCTTACTTCTGAATTAAAATTCTAAATTATTTAACGTCATGGCAACATCAGTAAAATCCGCTTTGACCGATTTATGGCCACATCTGACTGTCTGATCCACTTTGAGGCCACTGTGAACGCTCCAGGTGCCCCAACGTTATCCGCCTGTAAAATCCGACGGATCACTTCAATTCCTTGTGGCAAACGGTAAGACAGCATACACATATGCTCCGACTGCATTGTCGGCGGGCCAGACACAAATCCATACTAAAGTCCAAGTATTACCAAACGTACTCCACTTATGAAATATTTGCCGCGCAGCTGATGGAACAAATCCAAAAGGGCTCCTCCCAAATACCTCAAGCTCCAGTAACTCCGTCCCAAAATTTCACGTCTTATGGCTGTCGGCTCCCTCCTATCGACACAGAGGTTTTCTCTGGCGATTATCTTCGCTGGCCGACTTTCCGGGACCTTTTCACGGCAATATACATAGACAATCCGAGTCTAACGCCCGTTGAAAAATTATTCCACTTAAATTCAAAAACAAGTGGCGAAGCTCATTCCATAGTTTCAAGATCCCCACTCACCAATGATGGCTTTCGTTCAGCCTGGAATAACCTAACTGAGCGTTTCGAAAATAAGAGATTGCAGGTAAACAGTCACCTGAAAACACTTTTCAATGTGCAATCCATAGCACAGGAGTCGGGAGCAGCCTTAAAGGAACTTCAACGCACTTTTCAAGGTTGCTTAACTTCCTTAAAATTTTCCGGTGTTAATATTGAGAATTGGGACCCTATCCTGGTTTATATGTGCTCGACAAAACTACTAAAGCTCACTCTCTCATTATGGGAGCAATCCATCCAAAATAAAGCCGAAATTCCTACGTGGCTTGAGCTTGATTCATATTTGACGGAGCGCCATCTAACTCTTGAGGCCGTCGATAGCTTCCGATCTGCCAATTTCCACCACGTCCAGTCCAAAGACACAAATCGAGAGGCAGAATTTCCAAAAATAAATTCCTTCAACACAAGGTTAGTTCCGATAACCAAAGGCTGCGATCTGTGTTCGAAGAAGAACCACCCCGTGCGTATATGTCCACGCTTCCTACAGATGACGGTAGAAGATCGCTTAGCCTATATCCAAAGGAAGCAGTTGTGCTCCAATTGCTTTGCAAGTAGCCATCAATTCCGAGATTGCACAAGCGCTCACAACTGTCTCACTTGCCAAGATCGGCATCACACATTGCTGCATCGAAACAGCGGTCCTACTACTCCGACGATTCCATCCGACCCTCCAAGGCCAGTACCCGCCTCAGTTCCACACATCATTTCGTCCTATTCAACGCAAGTTTCCGTACAAAAAGTTCCTCCTAAGAATACTCCATCCGAATATTGGGTTCCATACCCCGCCTTGGATGGCAGACGTACTCGAGGTATTAAATCCTACCAATGCCGAGTCTGCCAAAAGATCCATCCTCTACGGAAGTGCCACCACTTTCTACGGCTAAGCCCCCAGAATCGGCTTCAGGATAATCAAGTTGCCATTGGCTCACAATCATTCCAAGGACTCCTGCCGCAGTGGTCATCACTGCCACAAGTGTGGAAAGGCCCACCACACTCTCCTACATACGGACGACCGGTCTATACTTCCAACATATTCCTGAGCCTACTATCCTGAGGTTCTTGCTACGGGTGTCCTCGCAAGGGGGGGGAGAATGTTTACGTCAAAAGGGCGTTTAATTTCAGGAGGCAGTGTCGAGCGGCAGTTTTATCCAGATGTCTACATCTCGCGCGCTCGCACTGCCGTCCGCTCTCCCTCTCCATGTCTCCCTTAAGTCTCCGCTCTGCTCTGGAGCGCTTAAGTTAAGTTAGGCTTAAGCAGTTCATGTTTCAAAGTGTACGAATAAACACCTACGCACGTCGCGTAAAAACCCCAAAAGTACTTTCGTGTTTTTTGGGTACCACTCGATATTGGGGCTTCAACTATTTAATCGATCAAGCCGCACCGCCCCAACAAATAGAAGTGGGTTTTTTTTTCGATCAACCCCGTATTTTAGCGAAGTCAGGTGGAATATTTTCATTCATGTGTAAGCCATTATTAGTTGAGACTTATTTTTGCAATATATTCCTAGAGTGTGGATACAATTACGAAAGGCTGCAGTACATTAGTGCTTCAGATCTTGATTTAATATTTTCCAAGAGAGAACATCTTGGTCTGAAATCCGAGTTCCGTGAGAAGCTCCAAAAATGGAAGCGAGCACAAGTAAGTTTAATTTTTAATATTTTCATAATAGGTTGTAATAATTTCAAATTTTAGCACATTGATGTCTGCGCAGGGGATACGACACCAACATATAAAGAAAAGGTGACATTATTAGTTCTAACTAATGGTTTCTAGCTTAAATATTATTAACTTTAATCAGTGTTTTATTTTTGTGGTTCAATACGTTGATCTAGAAAATAAATTTTAAATAAAACTACAAATTTGTTTCTCTGGGTATGAGTTAAGTGTCGAATTGATTTGACTAAATATCAGTTTGATATGAAAGAATACCAGTTTAATATAGAAAAAGATAACGTGTTAAAATGATAAAAAGTACAAATTTATATGATAAAATATTAGTTTCTTATGAAAAAGTATAAATTTGATATGGAAAAACATAACATGTTAAAATAGAAGAAATGTCAAATTGATACAAAAAAAAATGTTTAATGTGAAAGCATATCAGTTTGATATGAAAGCATATCAGTTGGATATTAAAAAATACCACAATTTGGTCACAACTTTGATATGTGCTCATATCAATCTGGTATGAAAAATACCAAATTGACATGTTCGAAAATATCAATGTCATATGTTCGAAAATATGAATATGATATGGCAACATAAGGGATCAAAATTGATATGAAAAAATACCCGATTGATGACCAGTTTTGGTATTTTTTTTCTCTGTGTAGGCTATTGAGATTTGGCGTGCAGATTCCTGAGCTTCTTACGCAGCGCAAGTTTGTTTCAGCAAAGTGCCACTACTGATAAGAAGTTACGTTTTACGATGTCGCTCGGGACATTGGAGAATACGATAATGGGATTAGAAAAATTACAGCTATTCCGCATAGCAAAATTCTCTTTTAAGTTTTTTCCCTTTCATTAAGTTTCAACAAAGAGTTGAGAGAGGTAGTCATATTATTTTCTCGCTTTTTATGATCTAGCATCAAAACGAAATGACCCATTAAAATGTGCAAAAACCAAAAAATGCATTGCGCGACTTCGCAATTATACAACTCGGATTATGGTAAACAAATCGGTGTGTTTCTTATAAATTAACTAGATATGATTATTTCTCTATAAAATAATATTTATGTTAAATTTTTCATATCACTTTTAATTTTTCGGTCTTGGTAGACTTTTTGCTAAAAGTGCCCATATGCAGCTTGGCTCCAGAAAATTTTAACTTCATGCATTTCTGTTATAATAGCAATAAAATGTTTTTTATACCCTTACAGAGGGTATATTGATTTCAGTCAGAAGTTTGCAACGCAGTGAAGGAGACGTTTCAGACCCCATAAAGTAGTATTCTTGATCAGCTTGACTAGACGAGTCGATCTAGCCATGTCCGTCTGTCCGTACGTTTCTACGCAAACTAGTCTCTCAGTTTTAAAGCTATCGGGCTGAAACTTTCCCAAAAGTCTTTTGCAGGTAGTATATAAGTCGGAACCAGCCGGATCGGACAACTATATCTTATAGCTCCCATAGGAATAATCGGAAAAAAAATTTTAAAAAATTATATCTTTGGAGTTTTTTGGCATATAACCTCCTAAGCTTGGAAATAACATTTTTTAATTAGTTTTGAATTTTTAATTAAATTTTATCGAAATCGGACGACTATATCATATAGCTGCCATAGGAACGATCGGAAAATTGGTGGAAAAATAATATGAAAAAATTATAGCTTCGGTGTTTTTCAACATTTAACCTCCAACGCTTGGAAATAAAATTTTTTAATTATTTCTGAATTTCAAATTTAATTTAATCAAAATCGGACGACTATATCAATAGCTGCCATAGGAACGTTCGGAAAATTGGTAGGAAAATATGAAACAATTTATAGCTTCGGTGTTTTTTAACATATAACCTCCTACGCTTGGAAATAACATTTTTTAATTAGTTCTGAGTTTTGAATTTTATTTGATCAAAATCGGACGACTATATCATATAGCTGCTATAGGAACGATCGGAAAATTGGTAGGAAAATAATATGAAACAAATTATAGCTTCGGTGTTTTTGACATATTATCTTATACTATTGGGAATACCTTTTTTTGGGTTTTTAAATTTAATAATTATAGCTGCAAGGGTATATAAGCTTCAGCTTGCCGAAGCTAACTTCCTTTCTTGTTTTTCTGTTTGGTCGGTCATTCTGAACTTTTTCATTGAATAATTATTGAATTTATTCACTGTTATCATATTTCCTGTAGCTATCACCACATCATCAACATATAACAGCACATAAATATTTTCCTTTATATCACCTTTATCAAGGATATATCTACAGCGATCTACGGAAAAGTTTACAAACTCAGTCTTTCAATGCTTGCTCAAAGACTTCAAACCAGCATCTAGGGCTTGTTTGAGTCGGCAAATTGCCGTATTCAACTTACATACTTTGTCACCTTTGCACTGTATACCTTGAGGAAGTGTCAGATATATTTCCTCTTTTAACGTGCAATTTAAGAATGCAGTTTTTACATCCATTTGATGGTCTTTCAAGTTATATTGTACTGCCAACGATAATACAAATCGAAAACTGAAAATTCTAGCAACAGCAGCAAAAGTATTTTCATAATCGACTTGGTATTTTTGAGTAAATCCTAGTGCAACCAATCTAGCTTTATACCTAGTAGGACTTCCCAGTTCGTTATATTTAACGGAAAATGCACATTTGCTATGTACTGTGTTTTTATGTTTAGGTCTTTCTGTGATTGTAGGTATTATTTAGTTCATAGGCACTCAACTCTGTTTTTGTGTCTTCCTCCGAAAACAATTTATTGGATCATTGTTGAAGATAGTGTGAGCATTTAATATATATTTATTTAAACTACTATCATCTTCATAATATGATATCTTGGGCTTTGTTTTTAATCTCTCACTTCTTCTACTCGTTATTTCAATACCATCAGTTCCAATTGGATTCTTAACAGATCCATGTCCATCAACAAATGAGACATCTCTACTATTTTTGCACCTGTGCAAAAAAGGCTACGCTTTCATTAATGCCTAAAATGGATAATAGCTAAATGGTATTTCTGTATAGGAATAGGGGTATTTCAACATTGAATTTCAAAGTTCCCGGTTTTGCTATAAAAAAAGGGTGCTTTGCTCATACTTCTTATAAAAATCGAGTTGTCTTTAAAGTTTCTGTAATATTGAAATTTGTATCAAAAATTGTTGTTTATTGATTCATTTGTGGCGGGACCTTAAAGATCTCATTCCGCAAGATGGCCAAAAGAAGGAACACTATTTGGCGCGCTTCGCCTCTTTAAAGAAGCACAAGCCGCACACCGTGTGCCTCCATTTCTTCTTTACAGCCATGGCGGATATGATCGCGCTGATTTTTTTTTAATTTCATGCCAAACTTTACTCGTTGCATTATTTTTTAATTTGTACTTACGCTATGTTTTGCTTTCATATTTAACATACATCATAGAATTTCTCATATGGAGTACCTCCGATGTCGACTAAGTTGTTAATTAGGACACTCTTCGTCATACATATATTCGGATCTGCAACGTGGCCTAGGTTTATGGGGGACACCACCACAAAAAAACGAGCCTGGAAAATTACCTCAATGATGGTTCGGAAAAGTCTTCATTGAAATTATTTGAGAAAATATAAAAATACAAATTGTTGGAGTGTTATTTCATGCATTAAAATGGTGGGGTACCGTGGATGGCAATAATCGTTCATGGCCGTCACTGAAATAACGGTACAGCATTGTGACGTCACTCATCTGTCCTTTATCGACCGCACTCCACGTATAACATGATTTCTTCGATATGCTTTTTCAGTAGACAAACAAAAACCATTTTTTATTAAATTAAAAAAATGTTACATGATTTTTGTAGAAACTCATTTGAAACCCTAATTAGGTTTAGGAATTCATTTAAAAATATAATTAATTTTAGAACTACTTATTAAAATATAATTTCTTTGATTGAAAATATGAGAAAAGCCCCTTTGTTTTTTGTAGCAAAACCGGGAACTTTGAAATTCAGTAACAAGAGAACTATGTCCGACCGCCAAGTTCTTTTTGCACGTAAATTCTTAAGAAATCACGGTCCATCGAGGATAATTTTTCGCGAATTTCGGGGGTGAGACCCTAATCTAGAGTATTACCAAAACAAATAAAAGTTCTCCCCCACAAGAAAACGGGAAGCTCTTCAATGAACATTTGTATCGAAGGTCTCATTAGGACCTGTCAAAAAATAAATTTAATTTGTGATGATATAATCAAAAATGGGTTCTCACAATGAATATCTACAAGTAGATTTAGTCAACAACCCCTTGAAAGTTTTTTATTTTCCAGAGAAACAGAGCGGGTAATAAACAGCCAACTGTTTCTCAGTTAATAAAGAAAAAGTACCGAAGCCGAATTAGTTCTGTCTTTTGTGACAAACCACCGGTTCAACCATTAAGCCTTGCTCAGAGCAAATGCAGTTTGGAGAACTTGGCAGAACGAAATGCAATACGTTATAGACTGGCTACTATACTTCCGAAATGTCTTATCGTACAAATATTTTTCAACTGTCGGGAGAATGTAGAATCTGACTCAACGAATTTTTTAGAAATAAACAAAAATGAAGGCGATATTAAATTAATAAATCCTTCGAATGCACTGTTTGAAGTAACAATGCTTTATGCAGAGAAATTTAAAAATGAAATTAACAGATTCCCCAATCAAATAAATATTCTTAGAAATATTATTAATATATGTGTTGAAGAAAGTAATAAAAGATCCTACTGGTTTGACTCGACAAGCCCATGCGCCTCATAGAAAAGAAATGCTGAAAGATCAATATAAAACGTACTCTTGTAAATTTATTGTCACCTGGGACATTTATCCACAACGGCCCAAGCAGATCAAACTCTTTACAGTGCTTTCTCCCAATTCAACTACAATTTTGAAAGCCCTTGTAGCTAGTGCCGTCAGAGTACCGGGTATAATCACCAAAAATAAAGACTGATACAAATTTGAAATGTCAGTTTTGACAAAAAAGAGCATGCTTTGATTTGGCCATCATTCAAATTGTTAAAAAAATCATTTTTATAACTTTTGTATTTCACGTATGAACGTAACTTCCAAAATTTTCCGTAACATACGATATTGGCCACTAACAGAAGAGATCAAAAAAGCGCAAAGTAGTGTTTACCTCCACAATCGGAATTCTTAATGCTTGAACAGACCACCTGGCAAGCCCAGCTGTTACCGCAAATACCGCGCGTCCACTAAAGCTCTCTCCCACGCTCTTTTCCAGCCTTCCCGCCACTTAGCTTTAACCGTTACGCATACACATTTGAAGCGTGGAGAGAGGGGAAAGCTTTCTGGAGCTTCAACCGGTGTCGCTGTCTTCCGCTCATTCGTCCATTCACTGCCAAAGTGGTAGCAACGGTGCGGGTGAAAGTTGCTTCGGCTGGAAATACATTCTAAACGGTTCGTCTGTGTGCGCTGCTACCTGTTCTTTTGTCTGCTGTGTGCGTTCCCTCCGATAAGAATCGCCGATTGCCAATATTTTATCATCTTGGCAGACCTATTATATAACCCTCACGAAAGACATAGCTATCGGCCATTGACACTGCATTTTAAAAACCCTCCCTATGTAGTCAGCGGTATATGCTGTGTTTCTTGTATACGCCTACATATACATACATAAGTACATATGCGCAAAGAAGCGTTGTCGGGTGAAACTTGTTTACCAGCGATAACGCGTCGCAGTTAGGTCACCAGCATCGGGCTGATAAGAGCTGTTTTCTGAGGCGGGCCTCAGAAAAAAAACGCTGCTTACAAAACATTCAACACCGCTTTGTGACCAATTCACTGAGACGATAGATTTGGTGGCACCGGACAACCGACTTTTTGTGACACGTTCCATTCCTTACTGATAAGATACATTTGCAACCCATATCATCATTCAGCCCGACCATGAGCCCTCTCCCCCGAGTCAACATCGACGAGCCAAAATACGATCAGAACTCGTATTTGGGCAGAGCCAAGCACTTCTTTCTGCTCACCAACCCGATCAACGTGCTGGCCTCCTCCTCGAAACTGGAGGAGGCCCGCCAGATCGTACTAAAGTATCGCGCCGGTAAGGAAGATCCACTCACCAGTCTTCAAGCTCCCTAACGTCACTTAAACTACTTTAAGGCAAGGATGTTCCCGAGTGCAAGAGCATCGACGATGTGTGGCGAGCCAAATACCTGTACGATTCGGCTTTCCATCCGGAGACAGGCGAGAAGCAGATAGTCATCGGGCGCATGGCGGCGCAGATGCCCATGAACACGATCATTACCGGGGGTGAGTACGAGTGGCGTTTTTGGAACTTAATTGGCGCCATTTGAACTATCCGCTGCCGCGCTGCTGAATAACTCGACCACAATAATAGCGCAATCATTTTCCAGGCATGATGGCCTTCTACAAGAGCACAGCCGCCGTTGTCTTCTGGCAGTGGTGTAATCAGACGTTCAACGCTATTGTTAACTACACGAACCGCTCGGGCACCTCGCCCATTAGCCAGCCGTAGGTACCGATTCGTAGAGGCATTCGCAATACTAAGTTTATCCCCCGGCTAGGCAACTGCTCACCTCTTACTGCCTGGCGACCGGCGGAGCCCTGGCGACAGCCCTGTCCCTAAATCGGGCGGTGAGGAACATGAATCCGCTCATTGGCCGACTGGTCCCCCTGGTGGCAGTGGGCGCGGCCAACTGCATCAACATCCCCTGCATGCGGATGCAGTAAGTAGACTGCACTTTTACCCACATTTTTTAGACGAACTTTTCAAAATTATTAGCCTGTTGTGGTTTCTATGCAATCTCTTGATAATGTCGCTTTTATATTATCACCAATTTAATCACACCATTCCACTCCAAATATGATGGTCTGGTTGAACTCACTGATTAAGGACCATTAACATTTTTAGTTTGGTAATTTTTAACTTTACAAAATATTTATGCCCGTTACCTTGTCAGAGATGTTAACCTAACGGAGCATCTGGAACATTCGGCCGATTTAATTTTATTGACCATTTCCCCCCCTATATCGTGAAAAGTAAGAGTATGCATGCTGTTTACGAGATTGCACCTTGCATTATAAGAACAAAATTAATTTTTAAATTTTAAAAATTATGGGCGTAGTGGCACTCCGATGAAGGAAACTTGCACTGCGCAGGAAGCCCAAGAATCCAAACACTCTAGCTCTTATAGTTTCCGAGATCTCATCGTTTATACGGACAATCGGACATGACTAGATCGACACGGCTAGTGATACTGATCCAGAATATATATACTTCATGGGTCGGAAACGTTTTCCTTTACCTGTTACATACTTTCCGACGAATCTTCTACTCTACGAGTATAAGTTATAATAAAAATACATATAATAAATACAATAATCAACAAGAAAGGAAGCTAACTTCGGCACGCTAAAGTTTCTATACCCTTGAAGGTCGTTCCCGTGGAAGCATTGTATGTACAGAGCTGTCTGATTTTTAGAAAACTAAACTAATTATACAAATTTTAGGTAATGTTCTATTTCAATTTACTACCGTGTATGTTTACCGAAAACGAAATATAACGGTCTGTGTAATATTTTGATTAATTATCCGATCGTTCCTTTGGCAGCTATATGATGAAGTCGTCCTATTTGATTTACATTTTATTCTGAAATTCTGAAATCTTAAGAGAATGAAATTCCCAAGAGTAGAAGTTAATATGTCAAAAAACAACAAAGTTTTAATTTTGTACATTTAAAAAAAATTATTTTTGGATCATTCTTATAGGAGCTAAAGGAAAAATTTCTCCGATCCGGCTTGTTCCGACTTAAATACTACCTGCAATAGAAAAGACTTTTGGGAAGGTTTCAGCCCGGAATATACTCTATGGGGTCGGAAACGTCTCCTTCACTGCGTTGCAAACTTCTGACTGATATCAATATACAATCAGAAAAGGTATTAAAAAGGAGTTGCTCATCATAACAGAAGCAAAGGGGCATAAAAATCTTGACTTGTTTTGCTAATATCATTTTTATGAAAAAAACATTTCCTAACAACACTTTCTTGGTGTCTTATTTATGCATTAATTTTAAAAACTTATAAAAGTGAAAAATGTGCTTTAAAATGTTTTTTTTTTAATTTCTTCAAATAATAATAAATTAAGTATATTTAACTCAACCATAGAAACAGGTCTGATTTTACCAGAAGTGGTACCTGAAAAGTTAAAAAGACCTTTTTAGCATCAAACAGTAAAAATACGTAACTGGGCCTTACCAAATATCAAAGAGAAAGTCCAAACAATGTTTCAAGAATGTTCAAAAATAGTAATAATTAAAATATTTAATGTAAGACGATTCGATGCCGTGTTTTTGAGACTCCATTTAGCCAAGACAACTTTAATGTTTTATTTATAACGTATTAGTATACGTTCTATTGAACAGGTTAAAGGTTAATAAATTTATATTTATATCTTATATAAAACTTAGGGAACAAGTTTTATATTGCCCCTTAAACTCATACAGTAGAAGTGTATATTGTAATCGCCGAAATCTATGTAACCTTTCTACTTTGTAGAAAACCTTTCAACTTTTTAGAACATTTTTTCACTTAGAATAGGTTTATAATTTTTTAGGGTTAGTTTCATATTAGGGTTAAAGTATTAATTATTAGAACAATTTTAGTTCATGGTAACCATTTTCAGGATTCATTTTTCTAAAATGACAAATTATTAAAATTAAGGGCAAGTCTTGAGTCGTACAGAAAACTAGAAAATCGTCCATAGCAAGAAAGGAAGTTAGCTTTGGTAAGCCGAAGTTTGTAAACCCTTGCAGTTATAATTATTAAATTTAAAAATACAAAAAATGATATTCCCAATAGTATAAGATAATATGTCAAGAAACACCGAAGCTATAATTTGTTTCATATTATTTTCCAACCAATTTTTCGATCGTTCCTATGGCAGCTTATGATATAGTCGTCAGATTTTGATAAAATTAAATTCGAAATTCAGAACTATTTAAGAAATGTTATTTCCAAGCGAAGGAGGTTATATGTTAAAAAACACCGAAGCTATAATTTGTTTCATATTATTTTCCCACCAATTTTACAATCGTTCCTATGGCAGCTATATGATATAGTCGTACGATTTTGATAAAATTTAATTCGAAATTCAAAACTAATTAAAAAATGTAATTTCCAAGCTTAGAAGGTTATATGTTAAAAAACACCAAAGATATAATTTTTAAAAATTGTTGTTTTTGATTATTCCTATGGGACCTATAAGATATAGTTGTCCGATCCGGCTGGATCCGAATTATATACTACCTGCAAAAGAAATAAGACTTTTGGGAAAATTTCAGCCCGATAGCTTTAAAACTGAGAGACTAGTTTGCGTAGAAACGGACGGACAGACGGACAAGGCTAGATCGACTCGTCTAGTCATGCTGATCAAGAATATACTATTTATGGGGTCTGAAACGTCTCCTTCACTGCGATGCAAACTTCTGACTGAAATCAAATGCAAATTTAACTTTCACAATCATCTAAATAGAGTGATCTTGAGCCCTCGAGAAGTTGAATTTTGTGTACCAATTTGAATTTTTTTAAAAACTACCCAAAAAAGTATTTGTAAAATTTATTTTAAATAACATATTTTTTTAATGATTATCGGTCCTGTTCCAGTTTTCACTATTCAAAGATTGACAGGGATTCGTAACCCGGTAACTTCTAGCCCTAACAATTACCAATTACACAGGAACACAAAATTGAACATAATAAAATTTTCTCAAACCATTCCTATTTTTTCACGATAATTGTATTTTTCTGAGTAAAAGCCCCATACAAACTTGAGTTCCATAATCTAATTGTTCCGCGGTATACATATCTAAGAATACTAAAAACGATGTTTGCCACATATATTATGTAGCTTTCATTTATTTTAATATTTTTTAAACACTCTCATACATGATTATAAAAATATTCATTCATAACATGTAATTTGTCGTCAAGTTAAACTTCAAATTTTCACATTTTCTGAAAAACTGTCTCTAAAAATAATTTATATGAACAATTTTTTTTTTTGAATCGATTTTCCACTGTAGCTTAATTCAGTTAAAACAAGAAAAACGCTATAGTCGAGTACCTCGACTATATATATCCGTTACTCAGTTAAGGACCAAGGAAGTGGAAATATGCAAGCAACAAAGCGAGATTTAAGCGTTATGGGCGTTAGAGTGGGCTTGGCAATTTTTTTTGGATCAATCGATAGGTATTGACGAGACCAATACATTTCAGTTAGCATGAAAATTGTGGGCGGTTTGTGGGCGTTAGAGTGGGCGTGGCATATTCGCTTAAACGTGCGCTGCGTACACGGCTACGGAATCTAAATCTGAGATCCCAATTCTCTATCTTTGATAGTTTCCGAGATATCCACGTTCATATTTACGATTTTTTGAAGTTTGTGGGCGTTAAAGTGGGCGTGGCAAACATTTTTTGGGTTAATCGATAGGTATTGATGAGAGCAATAATATTTCAGTTAAAAGCCTTAGTTTTGGGCTTATAGTTTCCGAGATCTCAACGTTCATCCGGATAGACGGACAGACGGACATGGCTAGATCGACTCGGCTATTGACGCTGATCAAGAATATATATACTTTTTACTATGAGCTTTGATAGTTTAAATAGAATACAATTTCTGTGAAACCTAGCAAAAATAAAATCAATTACAAATAATATAAAATAAATGCAAGGTATAATATTATTTCATTATTTCTCTGACCGTTTCTTTGACAGCTATATGTTAGAGTCGTCTGGTTTTTATTAAATTTAATTCAACTTTTTTTCAACAACAGAAAAACCATTTTTATTAAACAACGCTTGTAGGGACTGTTTTCAGCGCCAAATGTTTATTTAGCATATTGATCAAATATGAGATTTCCTTTCATATCAGCATAGTGAAAATTGAGTAGGAACTATTGTGGGTCAACAGTGAGGCCACGGGAATTATCACAAGCTAGAACCGTTTGGACCCTTTTAAGTATTTATGTATAACACCTTCCTCGCATACAGTTCTTTGCCTATAACCATTTCTTAAGCAACCATTTTGGGAGGTGGATGGGATTTTCTTTGGATAAACATGTGCGTTGTGGAGCATTAGAAAATATTTATTTTCATGATGTGATCAAAATTTAACTGTTCGGCTAATTTAATCTACTCGTCTTTTTAGGGAGCTACGAAACGGAGTGGTACTACTGGATGAGAACAACAACGAGATGGGGATTTCCCAGAAGGCGGCCGTTGTGGGAATCTCAGCCGTTATCCTTAGTCGAATTGCCATGGCCATCCCGGGAATGAGTAAGACCTCCCCAGGGTATACCGAAACTTTAAGATTGTTTCACCTTCCTTCTATGTATTTCAGCTCTGACCCCTGTTCTGATGAATGTCCTCGAGAGGAGGGGATTCCTGGCCAAATACCCGCGGTCCAACGCCCCCATTCAAACGCTCTTCTGTGGCTTCGTGCTGATTTTCGCCACGCCTCTCGGATGCGCCTTCTTCAAACAGCGCGCTGGCATTAAGGTCGACGCTCTAGAATCGGAAGTGCGCGACAGCATTAAAAAGAAGCGTCCGGATCTGGACACCGTCTGGTTCAACAAGGGACTCTGAGCCCCTGTGCACTTTATGAGCTTAACGAAGACAATATTGCTTGATTCAGCTGCCTATTTATTTACTCACCTTGCATTTATTGGCAGTTTGTCTGTTGAGTTTTGTTTGAAATACTCATGATATTATTCCTGACCGCACATTATTACCGAGCACCATAACTCGGCACGGTGGTGATCAAATTATATATGCAGCGTATCTGTTAGTGATTGTGTAAAAGCGAAAGATACCAAAAATAAATGCTGTTAACTGTTGATTTTGAACTGTGTTTTCAGTTGGACAGAGCAGTGCCCAATTCCGGGCGAATGGCAGTTGGCGTCGGGTCATCGACTATCGTTATCGCGCCAATCGCTACCAATCGAGGCTTGGTCATACCAATCTTGGTCGACTCAGCTTGGGCTCGGTTTTGTTTTTATTTAATTAAACTATAATTTAAATATGTAGCTTAAATTGCATCCTTAGTTTAGAATTGTTTGGACGAAACCGCGTAACCTGTAATCACAATTTTGCAGGCCGAAACCCACCCATTCCCGTGAATTCAAACGTTTGATTTCTGTGGCAAGGCGACGTAATTAAGGTGTGGCTAAGCAAGCATCTGCCTAAGCGAAACATCAATTAAGCTTCCGCTGGGCGTTAAGATTGGACCAACATCTTTGGTAATTGGCATCTTTATATCGCGACAACAACTACGTAATACATGTAGTTTTACACGAATTGTTTCGGTGTTATATTCTCATCGCGGCTTACGACCACGCCTAAGTCACACACACACAGGTGTGCCGACACCCAATGGATTACTAATTCAAACTACATGATTGACCATAAAACGCAAGATTTGTTTACTTTAAATTTGTTTATGCCATTATTTGTGCAAAACAAACATATTTGAATTTCTATTTTCAGAAACAATCGTGTACAACAGCAAGATGTGCCTTTAGTTCGCTGTGTGACGACATCTAAAGCTGAGTCCACTCCATTTAAAACAAACCCGAGTATGTTCTCAAAAAGCTGCCTCATGGGCGGCTTTCTAGTGCTCCATATAGTTGGCCTGGCCGCGCCCCAGATACTCGGAGAGCTGCCTACTGTCCAAACGGATCCGGGGCAGCCAGGGCAGCAGCCACAGAGTTATCAACCCACCTACAACAAAGACTACTCGCCGAGGTACAATCCCTTATATACTGGGCAGCAGCAGAGCCCGGAGTCGAACCAGTTTGACAACTCCCTGCTCGAAGGACAGAACCCCGGTACCTATAAGGGGTACTACGATGGCAGAGTGGGAGCTGGAGGACTTGGTGGCAACGTAGTCGGTCCCGGAAATAACATGGGCGCGCTCGGCCCACAGTACGATCCATTTAACCGAAACAGCATTGGCGCGGCGGGAGTCAGTTATCGCGACGCCTACAGTGATGAAGATAACTTCTGTCCGGAGCACTGGGTCTCGTTTAGGCAGACATGTTATCGCTTCATACGGTCGCCCAAACGCAACTGGGCTGAGGCGAAGAAGATCTGCAAGGCCTACAATGCGGATTTGATAAACGTGGACAACGTGGAGAAGCACTCATTTATACTCAAGAATCTCATACTGCAAAATCAACGGCAGAATCGATTCTTTATCTCTGCCCGACAGACAGGCCCCCTAAATTGGGTAAACGACGACAACACCCAGCTAGTGCAGATCGAGGACTCCTTTTCCATGGACGAGCACGTGCCCCTGGAAAACGAGGATCTGCACGATAATCGTTTCCTTGTTCAAAACGACCTGAACAACCGAAATCTCAACAATCCGAACCAGTTCTACAACTCGCTGCCGGGCAGTGTTAATCAGCGGAATCAAAATAACTTACGTGGATTTATTGGTACGTTACGACCACTTAAAATTGTACTTTTCTAATCTTTTTGTCGCCTGCAGGTCCCAACCAGCCGTACGGAGACAACGGATATGTGCGCGATCGCGTTGTCTACGCTTTCTCGAAAAAAAGGGATCGCTGGATGTTTATGCCAGCGTACGAAATTGAGCTAAATCTTTTCATCTGCGAGTCAAAGGTAATCTACAGTCCAGACAATGTTAACATAAAGTTAGATGACAAGCGCCCTTACCACTATGGACTTGATATTAACGACATGGAACGTATTCCACGGGGTCCATACTTCGTAAAGCAGCCAAACGACACGACTTTTGATGTAAACAAGAATCGGTTGATCAACGATGTAACTCTTAGCTGTTTGGCCGGTGGCTTTCCAACCCCCTCGTACTACTGGTACCGCGAAGTATACGTAGATGACACTCTTGAGTACCAGAAAATCGATCCACTGGCGCAGGATCGGTATACAATTTCTGGGGGTAACTTAATTATCTTCGAACCTAAACAAGCATTAGATCAAGGCGCGTATCACTGCGTAGCAGAAAACAAATTTGGACGTATTCGTTCCGAAAGCGCTCATCTAAACTTCGGTTTCATCATGGAGTTTAACCTAAAACGCTCTGCGGAGACGAGCGAGATGAACTGGGGCAAATCGATATTCTGTGACCCACCGCAGCACTATCCCGACGTGCGATATTACTGGGCTCGCGACTATTTCCCCAACTTCGTGGAGGAGGACCAGCGTGTATTCGTTTCCCGTGATGGCGCCCTGTATTTCTCTTTTATAGAAACCGTAGACCGAGCTAACTACTCGTGCACTGTTCAGACCCTTGTGTCGGACACCGGACGCAACGGACCTTTTTTCCCGCTGCGCGTGACTCCCAACAGCAATTACCAGGCACTCATATTCGCCAACACATTCCCCAAAGTCTTTCCGGAGGCGCCAGTGGCAGGTGACGAGATCCGGCTAGAGTGCATGGCCTTCGGTTACCCCATCCCATCGTATAATTGGACTCGACAAGGCCTACCTCTCCAACGCAATGCTTACACTATCAATTATGGACGCGTTTTAATCATCCAAAATGCCACAACTAACGACAACGGCGAGTACTCCTGCACAATTACCAATCCCCGCAAGACGCTGATGAAAAGCATCTATATCAATATCCAAATGCGCCCACAGTTTACAATTCCCCTCAAAGATATGATAAAGGACTATAACAGCGACGTTACTTTTATATGCGAGGCCTTTGCAATTCCGGACGCAAATTACACTTGGTACAAAAATGCCGAACGTCTTGACCCCACAACTATTAATCGTGACCGATACATTATCCAAGACAATGTGCTTACCATTAAGTTCCTCGAAAAGGATAAGGACGAGGCCATGTACCAATGCGGAGCTCAAAATCAACTGAAGACTTCGTTCTCTTCAGCGCAGCTCCGAGTGCTGTCTATGAAACCGTCTTTTAAAAAGCATCCGCTCGAATCTGAGATCTATGCTGTTTACAATGGGAACACTACAATTGTCTGCAACCCGGAAGCTGCTCCACGCCCAAAATTCCAATGGAAAAAAGACGGCCAGCTGTTAGGCTCGGGAGGCCACCGACGCATCCTGCCCAGCGGCACTCTAACCATTGCACCCACATCACGCGATGACGAGGGCGTTTATACATGCATTGCATCTAACCAAGCCGGCACCGATGAGTCCCACGCCCGAGTTATTGTTTTACGTAAGATATTATTAATTTAAAAATGTAGCTTAACGTATTGATATATCGCATAAGTTAAAAAAGTAATGCAATTTTTTTTTCTTCTAAAAAGTAATGCCTCAGTGTAGTTGTACCAGTTACTCGTTGGAAAGTATGTTAAACCGTTTAAAACAGACTATATTGGGAAAGGTTAGTCAGTCAATAACGTCTAGATATGTATTTGCAATTTACCGCTTAAAACTAATATTTTATTGAACAACCAAAAAGTTAACTGAGTAATGGAAATATGATAGTCAAAGCACTAGACAATGTAGAGCAGTGGTGCACACTGGCCTGAGTCGCGAGTCGGGAGTCCTCTGCCGGCGCTCTGCCACATCACCGACACTGTAAACGGTCGTGTGGCTTCGGTCAACGTCTTCGGTGTACCCACCCAAGTTCCTTACAATTCATTGTATTTGTGTGGGCACCACTGATGTAGAGTAAAAGGGAAGATTAGAATCGTCGGAAAGTATATTATATTCTTCATAAGGATCACTACTCAGGGCAAACTGGCCAAGGCCGTCTGTCCCTATAAACACTGATATCTCGTATACTATAAAGGCTAGAAAGGGATTTGCATGAAGATTCTTGAGGTTCTTGCGCACCGTAAGTTTATTTCACCAGGGTGCCACTCCTGTCAATTACTTTTTTTTTGTGAAAGTGTAAATGACATTTTGTTCTGATTATCAAAACCCAACACCCATCTCGGATACAGCCGATTTGCTGCACGCATATCTTCATCTCCCTTGCACTTACATTAGCTGTATCTTATAATCGGGAACTATAGCGTTATTCTTCTTTGTTTTTAAATATTTTCTTCAACTAATGAATTCAATTACTTGCAGAGGAAATCCGATTTATCGAAACTCCTCCCCAACGCATTGTTCCAAGGAACATGACTTAATCTTCTTGCATTGCGAGGCCGCCTTTGATGAGCTGCTGGACATAGCTTATGTTTGGAAGCACAACGGCGAAATCCTAAAAAACAACCACGATGGCACCGGAAGAATTGTAAGCAGATTTTTACTAAAACCGTATTCACCGACAATATATGTACCGCAATATCCTCATTTCAGATTGTAGACTGGAACAGATTAACAGTGCATAACACCACCATGCGAGATGCCGGCGACTACGAGTGCGTGGTCAAGTCGGCGGTCAACGAGATAAGTAGTAAGACCAGTGTGTCTATAGAAGGTGCACCTGGCGCACCAGGCGGCGTTCAAGTCATACAGATCAGTAAGACGAAGGCCATTATTGAGTGGGTGGATGGAGCTAACAACGGTCGCCCAATCCGGTACTACAATATCCTAGGCCGCACCAACTGGAATCGCACCTGGGTTAATGTGTCAACCAATGTCCAGGCGCGGGAGGTAGATCGCTACACATCGCGCCAGCAAGCTGAGGTGGTCAATCTTACGCCGTGGTCGGCCTACGAGTTTAGTGTAACCGCCGTAAACGATTTGGGAATTGGTACGCCGTCAGCCCCATCGCCAATATACAGCACATATGAGGATAAGCCTTATATAGCACCAAAGAATGTGGGTGGCGGGGGTGGAAAGATTGGTGACCTTACGATTACCTGGGACCCGCTGTTGCCGCAAGAGCAGCATAGTCACGGTATACATTACAAAGTGTTTTGGAAGCTTAAAGGGGCCATCGAATGGGCATCCGACGAGATAAAAAAGCAGGATCATATGGGCGTAGCTGTCGTTAACATTCCGCTGAACAACTACTATACACAGTACGAGGTCAAGGTGCAGGCCATCAACAGCATTGGCAAAGGACCGGAGAGTGAAGTTGCTGTCATTCACTCTGCCGAGGACATGCCACAGGTGGCTCCCCAGAAGCCCTTTGCGCTTGCCTTTAATTCAACATGCTTTAATGTCACGTGGCAACCGATTGATATGTCCCGTGAAAACATTCGAGGCAAACTCATTGGACACAGAGTAAGGATGCTGTTTTAAAAATGTTTGAATTGTTATTAACTTTTTCGGTTTAGCTTAAATACTGGAAAACTACGCACCAAGAAGAAGATTCAGTTTACTACTTGTCACGTACCACAAGAAATTGGGCACTGATCGTTGGACTGCAGCCAGACACCTACTACTTTGTGAAGGTAATGGCATACAATGCTGCAGGAGAAGGACCCGAAAGCGAACGCTTTGAAGGTGGGTGAAGACATGTGAAAAAATAAAAATACCGTATATTTTCCTTTAAATGATTTTTAGAACGCACATATCGAAAGGCCCCACAAAAGCCACCATCTTCAGTTCATGTATATGGAATAAATCCGTCCACTGTGCGAGTTGTATGGCGCTACGTTTCCCCGTCGCAGGACGAAGAACCAATCGAGGGTTACAAGGTACGCCACCAGGCTTAGCGGCCAAGAAACTCATTATTGACGTATCAAAATTTATAGGTTCGCATTTGGGAAACGGATCAGAACATGATCACAGCCAATAATACCATCGTGCCAATTGGACAGAAACTTGAGTCCTACATCAACACCCTTACGCCCGGAAAGAGCTACAATATGCGAGTCCTCGCGTACAGCAATGGAGGAGACGGTCGCATGTCCAGTCCCACTCTGCGCTTCCAAATGGGCAAGACGACTCGAAATGCCGCAAACACCCGACATGGCCACAACATTAACACGGCACTTATTTTAAGCACATTACTACTTATAACAACTTTTTTCTACACAAGCCACTGAATGCAGCACAAACCAGGATGCGTAAATTAGTAAGTAAGAATAAAACTATACTAAGAAGTGACCTTATATAAGAGTAAGTAGTACAGCGATAAAAAACAAAAGCATTCCATTCGTGCTCCTTTGTAAGCTCCTTACTTTATGTAAAAGCATACCGTCCATTTTAAAGACTTTTTAAAAACAAATAAATTTGTATCTTTCCAAAAGTGTATCTCATTTATATGGCTTTCCGTGCTCAGGGGAGAAATAGTTGAAACCAGGGATCGTAGAGTAAAAGTGTATACTAGAAAGTGTGTAACAGGTAGAAGGAAGCGTTCCCGACTCCATAAAGTATATACAGGGGTGGTCAAAAGTATTTTCACAAAACAAAAGTTAAATAAACTCATAATTTGAACTTACTAATTCTTAACTTTGGCATCAATGGAAAGGTAATTTAAATGCCGATTGAATGATACAATACTTTTCTTTACCTATTCAGTACTTATTGAAAAGGACGAATTTGTGAGAAAATCTACTTTTTAAACTTTTTTCCTCGTCTTGAAAACTTAAATTTTTTATTCAAAAAAAAAAAATCCAATCCAATTTTTGTGAATTAAGGTGAACAGATTGCTTAAATGTCCATAAGTTGTGATCGACTCAAGATATGATGAGACCTTAAATACAAGTCTGTAGAAGGCCACCTAAGCAATTTACTGGCTCTTGAATACATCTTCAGTCAAAAGAAAAAATTTTTTTTTTTCAAACCGCGATTTCACAATTACCACACGTTACGATCAAAAACTAAGTATGCAGATATGCTTGTATAAGTCTATATTAACATTATTTAATGCCCATAGGCCTGCACCAAAAACACTGTCGAAATTTTTATTATATGGGCATATCCGCCAAATAGTCAACCCGGACCGAAACAAGGAAATCTAAATAATCATCGTATTTTTTTCGTATTTTCGTACATAAATGGCCATATTTTCATAATACAGTGGAGCCATAGCATATTTCATTTGTTTTTTGATGAAATTTCCCTAAAAACTGGAAAAATGTATTTTATTCATTTTTAGCTACTTTTAAAGGCATTTTTATGTTTAATTATTTCGCAAGGAAAACATATGATTTGTTTCCACTTTTTCAAACAAATCTTTTTATTGCAATCTAATAAGAAGATAGAAATGCAAAGAGGGCGAAAAAATGTTCAATTAATTGTTAATAAAACAACATGGAAAAATCGTACGATCGCGTTCAATAAAAAAAAACAAATGGAGATATTTCCTTGGGAATAGACTCGATAGAAAGCTACATGAATCCATTTTAAAATTAAAGTTATTGCTTTAGAATTTTCCGTCCCAATTCGCAGATTTTGGCATTTTACTAGATTAAGCCTAGTACTTACATCGACGAAAACTGCGAGCTAACCATAGGAGTGAGCGAGAGGCAAACAGGCGGCTAAAGCTTTTCGTCGGGTCTGTTTTTCAGCGCGGTACTCAGATGAGCTAAGGAAATACCAGAACAAATACCAGATTTCGAGAGTGAATTTTCGATGAACGCCGTTAGCCGCGGCCCAAAGAATAAGAAATTTAATCTTTGGCAGTGTTCGTGCAGAAGCGGTAGGGAATTTAAAAATTAAAAATGGAAGAAAAGCAGCAAAAACGGCTAAAGGAGGTCAGTGCAGGGGAAAAAGGACGCCTAATCCAAGCTGTTGCCCATTGTTGTGGGACTTGACCGACAGGAAGCAATACCACAACGGGGCAAATCCGCAGAATAGTTGAAGCGCTGGAGGAGATCCACTAGAGAATCCCAGTGGGAAGGAACATGGGACATCGCTCTAACTCCGACGAGCTCTCCATTGAGGAGTCCACCTCCACCAGCTACTTGACAGCTAAAGCGGAGATGGAGGACGCGCCGGCTTTTATAGGGAGGAGAAAATATGGTCGCCCTCTAAGGGACAGATGGAGGAGCCATCACCAGCCATTATTGGCCAGCCTATTGGAACTTGGAGCTGGACTACAGATGGCGCGGGAAAGATGGCGAAGCATCCGTGGAACGAGAAGGAAGCCTTAAACTTCTAATTTACATAAATAAAAACATTCCACTATATGCTGGCTGACCACTTTTTGTGGCCAAAAATCCATTTTTCGAAAGTCGTTAATATTAAAATCTAATGACGTCAAAGTGTTGGAAAAACTTCAAACTTCAATGTTACGTAACAGAAATTTTAACAGAGTCACGATCTGCTAAAATATCGGCTGTTGAAACAGCTGTTCGGTGTCACGAGAGCACGAAAGCTACTTTGTGAAAAAAAGAGTCGGTTTAAAATTATAAAAATAAGGCACCAAACTAAGTTTTTACCAAACAAGTTATAATGGCATCGAAAGATAGCGGCTTGTACTTTATGTTTGTGGTCGTCACAAGTTGGATTTGTTTGTGTTGTCCCTGTAATTGAGTGTTTTTTATAGTCGCTTTACGTGTACAAATTTAAAATAAAAACTAACTTTAAATAGAGATATAAAGTGAGTTTCACCTAGTTTGACCTTAATATTTACATTGTGTTGTCGGTAGTTCAGTTCTTGTTCATATAAATGCTATCCTAAAGTGTACTTTTGCGCACTTTCGTCGCAATTTACCTTTTTAGGTCACAACCTCAGGTTGGACAACTCAGAATTGTTTTGGATTTGGAGTTCTGGACAGACAAAGCGAGAGAAAGAGCAGGCCATATTTAATAGATTTATAGCTTCGATAGCTGGTTCAGATGCTAATGAGGATGGATTGAAAAAAGAAACCGAAGAAGATGTTACAATACCATAATATTAATAATTGTTAATATCGAGGGCTTTTAAAGCCCACTTCTTAACATGTGAAAAATGGGCGGCGCCACACCTCTTTTTTATACGTTCATTATATCGATATAAATCCAAATCAAAAATATACACCTCTATATTAAGTTTTGTTTTTAGGGTAAGTATTTTCTTATCTATTTTTATATTATTTTTTATGATATAAAAAGAAATTTCTCCAAAAAGGGGCGTTGCCACGCCTTTTCCTGTTAATTTGCTAATTATAAGCCCAAATATAAGAACCGAACTCAAATATTTGGTTTTGCTTGAAGTTTTTGGCCACAAAATGTGTTCAGCCAGCCTATAGTGCATTCGTTGAACATTTTACTTATTTTTATTTTAATATCTTTGTGCACCAGCAGACTCTTTTTTTTGTAATTGCTCCAATTGATTTATTAGCTCGCTTGCTTATAACTTCTGAGTTAAACCTGGTACTCACATCAATGAAAGCGAGCTAGCCATAGGAGAGAGCGAGATGCAAATAGGCGGTTAACGTTTTCGTCAGGTCAGTTTTTCACTACTCAGGGACAGATAAGGACATACCAAAAAAAAAGTACCAGATTTCGTTAGCCGCCGCGCAATAATAAAGTAATTTTGGCCTGTGTCCGTGTAGGAGCGGTGTGAAAACAAAAAATTAAAAATTGAAAAAAAAACCCAAAAACCACGCCGAAGACGCGTACGTTCTGTGCAGAGGAAAATGTACACCTAATAGACTCTGGACACAGCCGATTAAAATCGCTATTGCAATTTTAAGCGGATTCCTGTTCACATAGAAAATCGTTGAACGGGGAGGTCGCTTAAATTTTGTTGCACCGAAGAAATGCAAAACAACGCAAAACTAAATAGAATGTGTATAATGTTTAAATCGGCAAATTGCTATAAGCAAACTAATCAACGATGACATTTTCATTTAGGCATACGTAGTGAAAGTTCAATATGGCCTATTTTGGGCTAACAGTAACGCCACGAGAATTTTCACAAGTTAGAATAGTTTGGACTGTTTTGAGCAATTATAACACCTTCATTTTTTTTATCAACAATTTTGGAAGGTCAAATGGCTTTTTTTTCAGGTCTTGCCTGGAAGGACATTAGCTGGAGCTTGGTCATTTCTCAAAAAAAGGCATATCAATATTAATTTTTAAGATGAGATCAATTGCTGCGTTCGGATCCGTTGGAAGGCCTTGGGCCTGCACCAACAAAAATTTCATTATAGCGGCGTCATTGCACTTTGAATGCATTTCCTTCTCAAAAACATACCGAAATGCCCAGTACAAAAATCACCTAAGCTCGTAAAAAGAATACTGAATTAAATACTGGAATACTGCATCGATTTGCATGTGCAGTCCCATTTTCCGCTGTAGCGAGTTGTAGGGCTTTTGTCTGTCTCTTTTTTTAGCACTTAGAAATAAGGTTATTATATAAGTGTGAAAACGGTATAATACAAACTGTGGAAGGCCGTGGAACTTAATCCACATGTACTCGATGCTGTCCTTATGAAGCCAACCTGGGAGGAGATACCGGAGGTCATGGACAAAGATTATAAATTATAATTTTGCGGTATCAAATACTTTTAGACATATACAATATATAGAAATTATGTTTAATAATGTTCAGGCTGGCTTGGAATTCCCAGCGGAAAGTAGCAGAAGAGTGGACGTGCTGGAGGAGGTCCACTAGAGAGGTTTAGTAAGAAGGAGCATGTCGAGTGGAACTCAGCTCCCTGCATGAACTTCTTTCCGGACGTGTCCTCGCAAAGTATGTAGGTTCTGGCCAAATAATTTAGTTCCGTAGTACAAATATAAACATCTTTTTAGCAAAACCATCAGTAACACAAGCTCTCCGTTGGGGAGTCGCTGGACTCCAGCACCATCATGTGGGAGAACTTTATTGGAGTCCCGTCCAGGGTGATGCGATAAGTGTTAAGCCCATTTATGTTTATGCCTCATATCGGCACATTGGGAATCGAAGCTGAGCTGAATGGTGCCAAGGTGGAGATGAAACTGACAAAGCTTCTATGGGACGATAAGAAAGCTGTTAATTACTAATTTACATATATAAAAACATTCGTTGAACATTTTAATTATTTTTATACACCAGCAGATTTGTCTTCTTTACATTTCTGCAATTGCTTTGTTTGCTTTTTGTCAACAAATCCAGCTGATTGACAGTAAGACCATGCTAGATGCATTGCGGGTTAGCTCTGAAAACGTCGGTCCCACTGAAAGCATACGAATTTTTGACTAGTGAGCTGTTTTTCGATCTGAATACTAGTAATACTGGGTACTGAGTACTACAAAATATTACATTATGCATAGTATGTGTTTTCTTCAACAACATCGATGTTTTTCCCCTCCTGTCATCGAAGTCTTTCCTCGGTCTACTCAAGTA